TTCACATTGGCCTTAGCCTTCTCCACCTCCTCATCTTGCAACACTATTGAAGCTCCGATGAGTCTGTGGGGGTAACAAAAACAATCAGCAACCACAACAAAAAAGCCTCGCCTTCACAACCTGAAACTCACTTCATCGCCAAAAGCTCATGTTCATCACATTTCTCGTCATCGAGAAACCTGCATCTGTAGATATTGGACAACTTCACCTGCAGTTTGTAATCAGGAACGAGTTCGAGAGTTTTCTTCAACAGTTCCACAGACTCTTCCGAACAATGACACTGCGAAAGATAAATCCCGGGAAAATTATGTCAGGAAACTCAACCAAAACTTCAGCGTACTTACATTCTCTATTTCAAGCTGTTCTCTCATTTGCCTGCCGTTTATTGCTCCTAAGTAAAGTAAGCGGGCAAGATCGTAACAAGAGTCGAAACCTTAGCCTTATGACCATAGGGAGAAGTATCGAGGTCGCGTGTTGAAAAAACGAAATAACATTTTTTGTCAATAACAAATGGTAAAAATTGCATTTTTGACCAACAAGTGTGTAAAAAAGGCAAGATTCGGAAGAGAGCAAATTAAGCCGGCAGAAAATGGTTCTTGAATCCAGGAGGTCAAGGTTGGATACTAGCTCACTTCGCATTTGCTCGTTCGATACTGGGCTATTTCCAAACTTGGTCTATGGTGGTACAGTTCCGACAAACCTCGACAAGCCGCCAACATATGTTCGTGAGGTTTGTGGCGGTTTAAAGGCGTTTGTGATTCATCAAAAAATCGAAAATGATATGAAAGGAAGTAAAATATCAAATAAAATTTTTATTCTTCTAGAAAACAATCGAGAGTACCTTGGGAGGAATGTTCGCAAGAAGTAGATTATCTCATCTTTGTGTTCGTGTGTTTTCTTTTCTGAATGGAAACTTCTTGCAGAAACTTTAATTTTGTTGCTGGGATATCAAAGACAAAATGAATCGGAAGAAGCATATTTGATTTGTCAATAATTTTGGCGGATGGCATCTTTCCGGGGCTTCCAATGGTTTCATCATTAGGAAAGATTTGTTTTTCAAAATAAATTGACGGCTGCCGAGGGTGGCGGCTTATTGAGATTTGACTGCATAACTGGTTGGAACGATAAATGTCGATGGATGTTCTGAACTTTCAACTCACCGTCAAGCTCCTTTCCGTCTCCCCAATTTTCTCAATGCAATCCTTGGCTGCCTGGATGGCCTCTTTGATCATGGTGATGGACAAGTAAGCTTCCACTAGCATCTCATAAGATTCGAACCTGTGAAGGACGCAATACATCAGTTCTATGGAGTAAAATCTCCTTGAAACAAACTCACAACAATTTGGGACCAATTCGTTCAAGTGACGCATTTAGTTACACAGTACGGAGATTCATGGCTTTAGAAACATTTCGAATTTAAATTTTGAGCGACATCGGTAATAAATGCTGTGAGGTGCTTCTTCAAAAGATAATGTCGGAGTACCAGACCCATCATTTCTAGCTCTCTTCCATGAAAAAAGAAAAATTTATAAATATACTTCGTCACTTCCTATATTGAAATTGCCCTGCTTCAAATTCACCAACGATGTGCTGGTCTAGAAAAAATGAAGTAAAACAGAGGTAGATTTGAAAAAGTATGTCAGCACTTTTTCCATTTACACCTGTACGTTCTTCGAAATTGGTGAACACCGTATCCTTTTCAAAAAATCAAAATACAGTTGATTTGAAAAGAAGGACCCATTGGTAAATTTTCAAATGAAGCTGAATACATTCTAAGAAAATTGTAGTGATTTATATTTTCTGCAATATTAAATTCCCTTCACAAAAGTTTTCTTTTTGATGAAATAGTCATGCAGCACAAGTCAGATTTTTCCAATATTTCTGTCAATTATCACATAATCCCTCAAGGTCTGTGCACAGAATGATGGGAAAATGTCATATTGTCCCTCCTCAACCCATGTACAGAGTAAACAAAGTAAGTCGTTGTGATTTGGTGAGTTCATCGCTCATTGGCGATTATTCTTCAAACGATCAAGGACAGCGTCAAAAAGGATCTGCTCTCACTGCAAAATCGCGAGTCTTGAGCACAAACCTGTAAGGCGCCAGCTCAATCGCATATTTCAGCACACCCACAGCCTCTCTCCATTCCCTGTCAGACATCAGCAACACGCCTCGCAGCAGAGTAACCTCAGGATTGTTCCGGTACATCTTGTCCAGTTTCACGACTATCCCAGAAGCTAAAGCATTCATCTTCCGCATTCTTGCGTAGTACGCCCGGGTCAGGAACCTGTCCAAGCTGTTCAACTTGTACCGCTCCAGCCGTCGCAGCAAGAGTTCGAAAGGTACGACCCTTTTCGCGGCGGTCACTGGCTTCACGCACGACTCCGTCGAGTAGATGATGGCAAGNCTATTAAAGTTTTATTAATTTTGTTCATGCTATTCAGAAAATTAAGCTACTGTATATCTTTACCCTATCAAGAGATGCAACTAAATTAAAAATACAACAGAACCTGCAGGGGTAACATTTAAATTCCCAGATTTCACCCTGCCATTTCATCTGAAAAATGGGATCAATGAAATCACAAAGCAATGCATACTGTTCTATTGGTCTTTCTTGTTAGAAATAATCATAATAAAATTTTTGAAGCTATTGTAAAATTTCTAATCAAAACAAGACGTCTTGAAAAACTTGCAATTTTTACTTTTTGATGGTGTTAATTTTTTGGTGAGGATTTGCATGCTTGCTTAGCGGGCCAGATGAAAAGCCTCCGCGGGACAGATCTGGCCCGCGGGCCGTATCTTGGGCACCCCTGTACATAAATTGTAGCGCAATTTTATCTCGAATTCACTTTAATTCATGATCCATAGCAGGCTAATTTTATGCTACTTTTTTCAGAGTTCTTTCCATCATCCGAGCGAAGTGTTGTGCTTGTTTTTTGCTTTTTGGGCTACATTCCGTGCCAGAAGATGAAATTGTGTGCTTTCTCCTGCGCTGTTATTTTTTATATCTTGGAGTTGAGCAAAAATGAATTTCTTTTCGAATTTTTGGGGACTTCTCCCCATTTTTTATTGATGGAACAAATTGAATATATTTCCATTGAAGTCTAAGGGAAAACGTGGTCCAACATGCTCAGGTTCTGATGTAAGGACTAAGTCCAAGCACCTAATATGTCCACATCTCGGGGCCCAACTACTGTGGAACTATTCCTTTATAGTGCAACCAGATCGTTTCTCGCCTTCCGGAATTTTCCTGAATTTTCTCAGCGTAAATCTTCTCTGTTTTCAAAGAAGCTTCGATGAATTAATCTTGTTGATCAACCCGTAAACTTGGCATTGTGAATACAAATTCTTTTTGAATGTGAGAAGCAAGTGGAACGTCATGAAATCTTGATTTTCAGGGAGAAATTATCGTGGATCACGAGGAGGACGGATTCGAAACCCTGACACCTGGGAAACAGGCCACAGTGCTTACACTCATCGGTGATTGTTACACAAAGCTTAGGCAGCCTGCACAAGCGGAGTACTACTATGTGCGAGCAGTGGCTTTCAAGAAAAGAATCCCGGTGGATGCTCCCCCGAAGCGGAAAGGGAAACGAACCCCGAAACCCACGCCACCGAAAACAGCAACTACGGAGCACGGTGAATTTCCTGTTGCTTTTCTTTTCACATTCTCGCTGATTTCCTTCATGACTGTCTCGTTGATCGTTGCAGAGGTGAAATATCGGTTAGCCAAAAGCCAGAGAGCTGTGAGAAACATCACGCTTGCGTTGAACACGATGGACTCCATCCCGATAAGGAACCGAGCGGTGAAGATGTCGCTGTTTCTTGGCAAACTTAGACAGGAACGAGGACAAGACAATGGGGCCATCAACTGCTTCAAAGCTGTTTTGAAGGTGATTTATCTTGGTTAGATTCACTCGTCGGAAGGTACGGACTTTCAAGGTCGCTGTTTTAGATTGATCCGCTCTGCGTTGATGCTGTAAGAGGGCTTTTCGAGTTGGGCATGAAGCTGGATGACCTTCTGGCTTACCTTTTGATGGTCTTTCCGTCTGGCCCGGAGATCTTTCTGGCTGATATACAATGGTGAGAAGTTCAAATCGATGTGATTTTCAGTGATATTTTACGAGGAGTCTCGCAAAATTTTTCGGGATAGAATTCGAAATGGTAATTTAAAGGGCTGGGAAAAAATTATTGTTGAGAAAAAACGTTCTTCGGCACAAGGGAAAAAAAAAAATTCAGCCCTCTGGACATATTTTTGCAGAAGTCGCCGCCCTGGCAGCTTTCTGCTCATCACTCAAAATATGAGGCGCCCATCTTGCAGAGTTTTTTTTATATGTAGCCAAGCTTTTCCTTAAGACGTTAAGAATTCTTGAATTGACATGGCATCACATACAAGGGTTGCCTCCAGGTCTTCCAAGATAATTCTGCCATTTACCAAAAGCCGCCACAATCTCATCCCAAGTGGTAGCTGTTAATGAGAACGGCGGAATTAATAATGAATCAATGGCAACAACCACTGGAATTAATGCTATGTCAATTTCTAGAAATCTAAAAGGAAAGCTCGGATGCACCGAAAAATGTGTGTTTCTTAGACCCCACGTATCTGTGCGTTGAGGAGCACTTCTTAGGAGAGCAGATATTCTATTGTCAAGTGTATCATATGCTGAAATTCAAGTACCAAAATAGCAAGATTTCGTGCGAGGATTTCTATGATCTTGCGAGTACCGTATTTACTCAAGTACCACACGTCTTCATGTGATGCACTAACCATAATTTTGAGAAAAATCAATGCCCCCGTAGGACGCGCAACCCGGTTCTCTATGAAACGACGATCAATTTATTTTTTAAAAAAAGCGCGAAAAGTTTAATCGAAATGTGCTACTTTTGTCGTTTGCAAATTTTATGTGCCAGTTTGATTTGAGCATGGATAAATGTGTTTACTTAGTTTAGTCTCCGAAAAATCATTTCTCCAACTTCCCTTAGCATGCGATGCGTACGGAAAATGTACAAAATTTCCGGGAAATTGTTGATTTCAGTATGACGCGAAATACCCTTTTTATGTTTCATTTCTGAGGAGACGGTGCATATGGTACTCGAGTAAATACGGTATTCGCCATTCTAAATCATAAATGCATGACGAAAAAATTTCAATACTGCAAACGCGAGACTTCTGAAGTTCTGAGAGTCCAAGAACAATACTCGCAAAATGTTCGCAGAATCCCACGTGAGAGTTCACAAGAAAGGTAGGATACAAATTTGGATTTCCAGAAGATTGAACAGCATCGGAAGAGCCAGCGAGTAGACGAGCGTTTTTCGAATGTCCGATCAAGCCTCTTCGATGTTCCCATCTGCTCCTCTGTAGACTTGTCCTCTCCAAACTTACTCTTCCGATGTGCACCAGTGATGTTTTGCCCTGATTCGAAATGCTTTACTTCAGGTACATGACGCTCCTTGTGGCCGAAGGAGCGATAAATGAGGGGGACTACGAGCGAGCGATCGACAGCCTCAATTCCTTGGAGTACCCGTGGCACAGAAACCCTCACGTATTCCGGAAGTCTGTTTTCTACAGCGGGACGATGGGGAAAGCCTTGTATTTGATGGGAGACCGTGAGGCAGCTCTCTCTGAATTAGAAAAGGTGAAAAACTTTGGATTGCCCGTCGCGATCTTTGATTTGTTATACAGTCAAACCCCGAAGATTCCAGCATTTTTCCAGGGAGATTTTGGCGGTTTATCGAATATTCCATCTTAAATTATTCGATCGAAATTACTTCAATTTGATTTTCCGCCAAAAATAACAGCAATACATGTTTTCTAGAAAAACTCAGTAATTTTTCGAAAAGTGATGCTGTGATACATGGAATGAATTTTAATGCATCAGTCTATTCAAATTTTAAAATCAGGTATATCTATCGTTCGAATTATTCAAAAGAATAGACTTTTTCATTTTTGTCCTCTTCTTGAAAATGCAAGATCCTCGACAGAAATTATATTTCTACCCGAATGTTGACGTTGAATCGCTAATACTGGCGGTTGGCGTTTTATCGAGGTTTTCTATGGTATTCAACATTGAGAAGATTCGTTTCAAACAAAATGTTGTTGGTTGCCGAGGGCAGTGGGAGTCTTAACGGGGTTTTACTGTGCAGTGTTTTTGCAAATTTCTTAGGCCTTGAGGACGAACATCATGCTAGCACCACATATGGAGTTCCTTGCCATCATCTACTCGACGGAGTCGTGCGTGAAGCCAGTGACCGCCGCGAAAAGGGTCGTACCTTTCGAACTCTTGCTACGACGGCTGGAGCGGTACAAGTTGAACAGCTTGGACAGGTTCCTGACCCGGGCGTACTACGCAAGAATGCGGAAGATGAATGCTTTAGCTTCTGGGATAGTCGTGAAACTGGACAAGATGTACCGGAACAATCCTGAGGTTACTCTGCTGCGAGGCGTGTTGCTGATGTCTGACAGGGAATGGAGAGAGGCTGTGGGTGTGCTGAAATATGCGATTGAGCTGGCGCCTTACAGGTTTGTGCTCAAGACTCGCGATTTTGCAGTGAGAGCAGATCCTTTTTGACGCTGTCCTTGATCGTTTGAAGAATAATCGCCAATGAGCGATGAACTCACCAAATCACAACGACTTACTTTGTTTACTCTGTACATGGGTTGAGGAGGGACAATATGACATTTTCCCATCATTCTGTGCACAGACCTTGAGGGATTATGTGATAATTGACAGAAATATTGGAAAAATCTGACTTGTGCTGCATGACTATTTCATCAAAAAGAAAACTTTTGTGAAGGGAATTTAATATTGCAGAAAATATAAATCACTACAATTTTCTTAGAATGTATTCAGCTTCATTTGAAAATTTACCAATGGGTCCTTCTTTTCAAATCAACTGTATTTTGATTTTTTGAAAAGGATACGGTGTTCACCAATTTCGAAGAACGTACAGGTGTAAATGGAAAAAGTGCTGACATACTTTTTCAAATCTACCTCTGTTTTACTTCATTTTTTCTAGACCAGCACATCGTTGGTGAATTTGAAGCAGGGCAATTTCAATATAGGAAGTGACGAAGTATATTTATAAATTTTTCTTTTTTCATGGAAGAGAGCTAGAAATGATGGGTCTGGCACTCCGACATTATCTTTTGAAGAAGCACCTCACAGCATTTATTACCGATGTCGCTCAAAATTTCAATTCGAAATGTTTCTAAAGCCATGAATCTCCGTACTGTGTAACTAAATGCGTCACTTGAACGAATTGGTCCCAAATTGTTGTGAGTTTGTTTCAAGGAGATTTTACTCCATAGAACTGATGTATTGCGTCCTTCACAGGTTCGAATCTTATGAGATGCTAGTGGAAGCTTACTTGTCCATCACCATGATCAAAGAGGCCATCCAGGCAGCCAAGGATTGCATTGAGAAAATTGGGGAGACGGAAAGGAGCTTGACGGTGAGTTGAAAGTTCAGAACATCCATCGACATTTATCGTTCCAACCAGTTATGCAGTCAAATCTCAATAAGCCGCCACCCTCGGCAGCCGTCAATTTATTTTGAAAAACAAATCTTTCCTAATGATGAAACCATTGGAAGCCCCGGAAAGATGCCATCCGCCAAAATTATTGACAAATCAAATATGCTTCTTCCAATTTATTTTTTCTTTGATATCCCAGCAACAAAATTAAAGTTTCTGCAAGAAGTTTCCATTCAGAAAAGAAAACACACGAACACAAAGATGAGATAATCAACTTCTTGCGAACATTCCTCCCAAGGTACTCTCGATTGTTTTCTAGAAGAATAAAAATTTTATTCGATATTTTACTTCCTTTCATATCATTTTTCGATTTTTTGATGAATTACAAACGCCTTTAAACCGCCACAAACCTCACGAACAAATCATGGCGGCTTGTCGAGGTTTGGCGGTACTGTACCACCATAGACCAAGTTTGGAAATACCCCAGTATCGAACGAGCAAATGCGAAGTGAGCTAGTATCCAACCTTGACCTCCTGGATTCAAGAACCATTTTCTGCCGGCTTAATTTGCTCTCTTCCGAATCTTGCCTTTTTTACACACTTGTTAGTCAAATATGCAATTTTTACCATTTGTTATTGACGAAAAATGTTATTTCGTTTGAAGTTGTGCGCTGGAGCTATGAAGAGGGATACCAGTATTCCGATTCCAAAGCTGAGAACAATGCTAGAACGGGCGAATGAAATGAATCCTCGTTATTTGCCGTCCGTTTACTCTCTTGTCGAACTTT